CTCAAGTTATAGATCCTCTTGTCGTCTTCTAGCCTTGTATTGTTACTGCTTGTTTCCTTGTTATTTTTAAAAAGTTTTTCCTTTCATAATCCCACATTGCAAAACTGTTCTCCAGTTTGGATAGTCTATCAAGCAGATTTGCCATCTTTCCATAGAGTTTTTAATTTCCTGGTAATCTCTTGGAATCTGTTTCATGTATAGTATATTTTGTTTATATTCTTCAGCAAATGGTTCTCTCCTTTGTTTAGTTCCTCCCTTCCGTCTGTGTCTGCTTGAGGGGTGCTTAGTATCTCTTTTATTAATCTTCTCATATCTTGTTTTACTTGGCTAAATATTTCACTTTTGAACTCGTCTATGAGGTTCCAAAGATATCTCTTTATGTCCACTGGTGCTGTGTTTGATACTGCATGTTTGCTGTTCTCATTCTCCTTTGTATTTACCTGTCCTGGCTCAGTGTTCTCAGGGTTGGGACCTGGGGACTTTTTGTTGTTGCTTCCTCTTCCCATCTTTTTTGTTTCTTCCAGGAGGCCCCAGTGTCTTTCTTTGTTGGTTACAATTCTTCTGAAGCAAGCTGGCTAGGTGAACCTTCCCATTGCAGTGCGCTAATAGGTTGCAGACAGGGGCAGCATATTCTCGCCCCTCCCCTTCGGATCAGTCAAGTGGCTGAGGCCTGCACTGTATTACTGTGTACTGCCTCCCCTCCGGATCGTTCAAATTTCTGAGGCTTCACTGCATTAGTGTGGTTAGTGTGCGCTGCCGCCATAGGGAATTGATTTTGGATAAACTATTGGATCTCAGCCAGGTTGCATGCCCCTGGCCTAGCTCATTCCACCAATCCCTCGGAAAGGGAACACCTGACTGAAGTCACTGCTGCCCCTTGCACTTGCCATTCCTGCGGGGTCCCAGAATGTCCTCTGCTGGAGCCTCCCTTTCTGTGGAATGGCTCCACTCTCGTCACTCACCACAGGTCAATGCAGGCTCCCTGCCAGCTCAGCTCTCTATTTGGCTGGCTGACCCCCAACCTCAGTGTGACTGCGCCTCCAGTGAGTCGAAGCGGTGGGACCTCAGATGGCTCGGCAAGTGGCCGCTGCGGTGGGAGCACTGAACCTTTAGCTGTTCTAATAATAACACCGGGACTGTATGTTTGATTGATTCTTCTCACCTTAGTTTCTTCTTGGGATGAGAGAATTCATCTCCCTCTGTTTGGGGCTCCCCATGCTGTATTATGTTGAATTCTAAGTTGATTATCTCAGGGAGCCTCTGTAGTCAGCTGTTATCTATCCACTATCTTTACTCCACCCCCTAATTTGTAGTCTTACAGATTGTCTTACTATCTTTGTTACTGGGCCAAAATACATCACCTCCATAGCTTCAAGGAGTAGCAGTTTAATTAGCTCCTGCTTTAGGAGTTTTGGTCCTTGTAGGCTCAGAGGCATGGCAGAAGGACCTGGGGAGGAGAGCAGCTCACATCGTGATGTCCAGAAAGCCCAAGAATATGGGATAGGCAGGGAAAGACCTTCCAGGCTACAACCTCAGTGAGCTTCCTCTAGACAGGCCCCTACCTTGTAAAAGGAAGCCAGCTGAAGCTCCAGGGTAATCCAGTCACTTCCAAAAGCCCTGTGTAGCACATGAGGCTCTTGGGGGACATCTAGAAATAAATCATAACACAGATATTTTCAAAGGCTGCAGTTGTAGTCAGGGTTTACAAAGGTACAGATTTAATACAGGACACATAATTTATAGTATTAGTTTGTAATACCCATAAAGTCAACTGTAGAAGAGTACAAGTGATCTGTCTACTCAGTAGAAACCCAAAGAATCCCAGCTGAGAGCCTAGATACTTCTGTAGTGTCCTGCATGAGTCCAGCTGAAGACCTGGAACCCATGGCAATGCCCTTCATGTCTCCCAGTAAAGGCCTAGAGCCTACAACAATGTGTCATGCAAGTCAAGGATCCGCACTGGAAAGGCCCAAAGATCAGTGATAGAAGCTAGAAAGTCTGTGCTAGCAGAATGAAGAATCTGTGCCAGCGGGCTGAGGGTTCTGCACTGGAGCCAGGAAGTGATGCTCAAGGTAAAGAGCAGAGCTCCCCACAGAGTGTTACAGGCATCCTCAGTGACAGTGAGGACCTGAGCTCCTCCAAAGACGAGAACAACTGAGTTCATGTCAGAAAAACCAACATGACAAGCTTCTCCAGGGAAATCAACAGCACACCATCTTCCCCTCCAGTTCTTTCTATATTGTTGGCAACAGTTCTCAGGTGGGTCTTCCACAGCCCGTGCCACGCTGATTCGGTTCACCTGGATGTTACAAGGGGACCATTAATTTACCACAGCTGCTTTTTCCTGTGTATAATTATGTTGTACTTTAAGTGATAATAGTAGAGGTAAAAAGAAAGTTTGATGTTAACAAAATGAACAGGTAAAAAAGTATGACTGGAGTGGGTTGTAGACATATTTAGCCCCCTGATTAGGTTGCAGAGGGTTCTGAGCAATCGGATTCAGTAGTGGAAGACAAATTCAGAGGGGTACAGAGAAATCCAGAACTTGTCTTGTAAGCTAGGATTTGGCAAGCCTATGGCCCATGGGCTAGCGCAGAAGAATGTGCAATAAAAATTGTATGTGGCCAGGAGGCTGGGAATTTAGCTCAGCAGCATAAGCACCTGGTTGCAAGCATGTGGTCATGAGTTCAATCCCCGGTACCGATTAAAAAAAAATTATATGTGGCCTGCATAAAACAAAACAAAGAAAGCTACATACAGAAAATATTTCCAAAGCCTTGCCGGAAACATTTAAACAGAGAACTGCTGACATGCCTCAGTGGCCTGAGTTCTCCAGCTAGTCTTCCCCTCCTTTACAGTCCTGTCACCTTTGAACAAGGCTGTCAAGTTAGGAACCCATCAGTGGATTAATCCACTGATTAATGAGGTGAGAGCCCTTGTGATCCAATTATCTTGTGGAAGGCCCCCTCTAATAATTAGTGTAGGTTATACACGTCTACAGTTATTCATTGGTTGGTCATTGTTTTATGATGAAGAGTCAGGGAAAATATATATACTTTTTAAAAAACTCATTAATATGCATAGAAAGTTCTAATTCAGATTTAGGACTATATTGTTTTTCCTTAACCTAATTGATCCTTATTTATATTAATTATTCCAAAAGTCTTGGTTCTCATCATAATTACTTTCTATATCATACATGTAGTCTCAGAATAATTGATACTATTCACCTATGATTATTATGAACATTTTAAGACTGTTTGAAACTCTTTTCCACTATAAAGTATGTCTACTCCACAGGCATATCACAGTCCAAAATTGTTAAATAATTAAACTTTTAGTAAAAAGGATTAAGGTGTGTTATGTATAAGTACCAATTTCTCATGATGAATGTCATTATTATGTACTGACATGTACTAATAAAAATTGAAAAGTAAAGTCACTAAAAATTCCTTATTCATTATCTCCATTTTGTCCTAATTTTTAAATTGCTTTTTAAAATATTAATGGATAGCTAGAATGTGCACACAATCCTAAGGTCTAATTTATAAAACAAAGTATATTCAGGGATGTCCAGCTTCCATCTCTTACCCTTCTTTCCCCCTTGATTTTCCCCATTATTAATTCATTCTATCATTTAAAAAATAGTAGATGGCTTCCATTCTCTCCTTGTCTTGTTAGATGAACAGTAGCATCCCACCTTCTTTCCTGAAAATAAGACCTGGCTGGAAAAGTCAGCCTTGACAAGTAGAGGTCAAAACTGCAGTCCAATCAGCCATTCTTGCTTCACCTGCCTTTCTGGAGCAGCCTCTGAGCCACAGAACAGTGATGGCAGATGAGGTGGGGACAGGCTGTGTGGGGCTGGCATTTCTAAGCTCTGGTTGTTGAGGCTGATTCCTTACCGGCTAGGTCTTCTTTTGGGGTAGACACAGTATGCACGTGAGTTCCCATCTTACCTCTTCATGAGCTAGTACACCCTGCAGGCCACGCCACAGTATGAACAGGGATCTGCATTCCTTTTGCAACCTCGCAGTGCTGCATCAGTGGGTTCATGTAGTTTGTTCAGCCGATCCTCATAATTGACTTTGTTTTAATAGAAAGGGATAATTTTAGCGTTACTAAGACTTCAAGATTCCTTTGTATTCTTAGTGGCTTTGCATGTAGTAATATTTGTTAAAATGAAACTTCTGTTTTAAAACGTCTCAAAAAGAGCTTTTCAGACTTAGTTTACATTTCCTTGTGGTTTTGTTGCTCCTCAACTAACTGTGGACCAGGGTGATAATTTTTAATGTAGCTTATAGCATACATGTTATACTACCCAGTCAGAACTGTGAATACTTTGTATCTAGTGAGAAATAAATACAGTGTTGTAATTGAAGTTAAATGATTTTAATGTGTGAGAGTCAACGTTTTTTGGTCTTTTTCATCTTTCATGTATATTAGTAGAATTTTTTTTTTTTTGCAAGAGAGGCCTTAATATATCTTATTCTGTGTTCTATTCATTTATTTCACATGTGATTTGTCAAAAATCCCCCTGTCCTCACTTTGCCTTTACCATGGAAATGGCGAAGTCCACATGTGAGTCATGCCGTTGTTTGAGTATGGCTTCCGCAGGACAATGGTCTAGTGTCTTGAGTGTACACCTCTGGAGGAAAAAGAGTTCCTGGCAGGGCTTTTTCTTTATTCTTCTCTCTGGGTTTTGTTGTAATATAAATCTTTCAAATAACTGCTACAAACAAAGTAACTAAGTAAACATATATTATCATCAAGACTCTTTGCTAGGTGGGCTGGGGATTTAGCTCAGCAGCATAAACGCCTGCCTTGCAAGCAGGCAGTCGCGAGTTCGATTCCCAGTACTGATAAAAAGGAAAAAGACCAAAAAAGAAAAAAAAAAAAAGACTCTTTGCTTATTGCTGAGGCACTCTGCCAGAAGGCAGTGTTCTGTGAATTACTTGGTCTCCCTGTGTGTAGCTGACTTTTGTTTCCCTTTTGTCTTTTAGTGCATTCCACTCTTTGTCCAACTCGTTCTGGAGAGATTGACCCGCGGGGTCAAAACAAGTGAGCTCCGCACGATGTGTCTGCAGGTTGCAATTGCTGCCCTGTACTACAACCCTGACCTGCTGCTGCACACCTTAGAACAACTTCACCTGCCTCACAACCCTGGACCTATCACTGTACAGTTTGTAAATCAGTGGATGAATGATACAGATTATTTTCTTGGGTGTGTGCCATTTATTTAGTTTTAGTTTTAAAGAATAAAACCAAACAAAATGAAACAGAATAAAGCCAATCAAAACAAAACAATGAAAGCAAAACAGGACTTCAAAACAAGATAATAAGAAATCAACAATGGCTACCATAATGCCTCTTGCTAGGTTCAGAATAGCTGCCCATACCATTAGACATAATAAAATCAACAGAATAAAACCAACCAAAACAAAACAATGATAGTGGTACAGGACTTCAAAACAAGATTATAGGAAATTCAACAGTTGTGCCTTTTAGATTTTATACAACTTTACTATTTCTGGAAAGTTTACTTTTTAGTATGTACATATGCAAAAAGAATAGGGACATGTATTTAATGGTCTGTTAATATGTAGTTCTTAAAGCAGACTTTCAGCAGTGTAATCTAGTAAAAGGATGCAGGCTGGGCAAATTAAAAGGCCTCCACCCACTTGCTTTTCACTTATGTGTATCACTATATCTAGGCAATAAGAGTTAAATGTCTGGATTCTGTGACTAACAGTGTCTGTGGCTACACATTGTGAATAGAGTGAGATTTCTCAAGAAGACCCCAGTTAGGCAAAGATACAATGTGCTGGGTGTCCACAGATGTTAGTGTGCTCTGCATATCTCAAGGGTGCCTGTTCTCAAGTGTGGAGTTGGAGGAGTATTCGTTGGCGCGCCAGTGCTGCCCATGTAGGAGAGTTTGGCTTTGTGGGAAGCACTCTTAGTGCTCAAATGTAAGAAAAGTGAATCCCAGGTCATGGTTCTGTGCGCCTCCCAGCTGAAGCAAGCATGGTAGTAACTGTGTGGTACTGGAATTTGAGCTAGAGTGCCATGTAATCTGTTTGAAGTACTTGGAGATAATTAGTGCTCTTTTTAAGTTTTATAATGTATCGCTGAAGACCGTTTGCTGAGAGGAGTAGACATCCAGTAGCGGCTAGCATGCTGCTGTGTGATTGGGAGATGGCCGAGGTCCAGATTAGGCTGGTAATGTAGAATTGGGTGAATATACTTACAAGATGCTGTGTATGTCCTATTCTGTCTGCTTTTTAGGATACTGATTGTCTTAGTTACTCTTCTTGTTGCTGAGGCAAAATACTTGACACCATAGTTAAGGAGGAAAGGTTTATTGTACTGTTACCATTAAAAGCTCTGAAAGGCTCACCCACACTGCCCTAGATCCAGCCACTGGTGAACAGCCCCACCTGTGGCCACATGAGGCTTTGGGGACCATCTAGATAAAAGCTATATTAAGATACGTTGTTAAAACCTTGAAGGGGAGAGCATACTTCAAAAAGAAATTATGGTAAAAGTTATCTCCCACAAAGATTTGGCGAGTACAGATTTGTTCATGCAGTTGTATAGGTATTCATATGTGTTTTTCAGTATTTGCAAGCAGTTTTTCAGAGAGAGATCGCACTGTCTTTCTTAGCTGTGGCATAGATGTGAAAAAACCTTCCGGTCAAGTACAGGTCATGTCATATACTGCTTGGGCATTGTGACTTAAATAAACAACATGAATATTGAGGTAGCTCATGATACACTTATCAATTTGTTCCAGTCTGATTTTAAATAAATCATGGCAAGTTTTTTAAGAGTATCATACTAATATAGTAGTCCTTTAATATCTTTAGCTTATAACACTTTTAAGAAGCACTTCATAGAAAAATGTCTAATGTAGAATTGGTCAGTTTTCCGTCAGAATTGAATTCTCCTTATGTGGTGCTGTAGCCAGGGTTGCTGATAGGCTTACTCACAGCCACTAAGATCAGCACAGTAGATGCAAGGTTTGTGAACACACTTTTGGCACTTGGGTTAGTGTAGAGTACGTGTACCAAGAAACCTTTAAGACCAGTCTCATGGTGGAGAGTCTGGGGAACTTCATTTTTTCCCATTGTATAGGAATTTTGCACTGTCAATTGCAGGTGTTTCTGCTTTAACAACAGTTTTTATGCCAACACTTGAAGACTTTGCATATCACAAATTGATATTACAGCAAGATTCATTATCATAATTATGACTTCTCATAGGTCTTTGATGGTAATAATTGGTTTATAAAATTTGATTTGTATAGCACTTTATACAGTACAAAGTTGGGGCTATTTATAAATCTGATGGATTTTAGAATGTACTTTGGGTGTTTTTATAGTTTCCCTGAAGGTTGTCTTTTATTGCATTTTTCATGTCTACATTTTTTTCTTCACAATTTGCAGGCATCATGACCGAAAGATGTGTATAATAGGACTGAGTATCCTTCTGGAATTACAAAACCGCCCTCCTGCAGTAGAAGCTGTGGTAGGACAGATTGTTCCCTCAATTCTTTTCCTTTTCCTTGGCCTAAAGCAGGTCTGTGCTACTAGACAACTGGTAAACCGAGAAGATCGTTCAAAAGTAGAGAAAGCTGATATGGAAGAAAATGGTAAATAAAGTTTTCCAATTACAATGCATGTTGGAGTTGATTTTGAATTAAGCTTACATTTTCTCTGAATTTTAGATTGTTTGGAATCATTAAGGAGATTTACATTCATTGGTCTGTACATGTAATAGATATCGTGGGTTTGATTACCTATAATTGGTTCTCTCAAGTGGCATCAATTTAGCTCTTTGTAGCTCGACACTTAAAACTGCTCTGATTTTTAAGTAGAGCCTAATGGATATCGTTATAGATAGAGAAATATGTTTGTAATGGAAACAAATGGTCTTGACTGTAGATTAGGAACCTACTGTTTCATTTTCTTGTTTGTGCTAATAGATTTAAGGCAGAAGCCTTGAATTATATGAACCACTAAAAACAGAAGTGTCAGGGCAATGGATTGGTAGAGATTGTCTGATTTTAAGAAACAGAAAGGTACTTACGTGCTTGATCTTCAAAAATTCTAAGTGCTTTAAATATAAATGCAGAGGAAAGCACATAAAGATGACTTGCTCAATTGAGAGATTGTTAGTGCCAAGCCTGTCAGACCATTATTTTATTTACTGATGAGCTTCACGCTCAGGACCAGGGAGTCCCACCTCTTTTTGCTCTTCTTTTAAAAACAATTCTCTCTGTCTCTCTCTGTCTCTGTCTCTCTCTTTCTTTGCCAAGAAAGATCAAAATTATTCTAGAGAAACGTAGAAATACCTTTTTTATGCTAAAGTCTATGACTTGAGCAAGTATAGATTTTTTTTTTGTCTTTTTCATTTTTTTATCGGTACCAGGGATCAAACTCACGACTGCCTGCTTGCAAGGCAGGTGCTTATGCCACTGAGCTAAATCCCCAGCCCCGCAAGTATAGATTTAAAAGCCTTCACCTAATTGGCAGCTTATTCCTGTACAAGGGAGTTAAATGGCCTTTCTCCTCCCAATGTAAAGCACCTTCTGATTTGTTTTTCTGAATTCAAAGAAGGTCTTTTGAAGTAATACTTCTTTCCAGATGTTTCTTTTAGTTACGTGGAGGGGACTAAGCATGTATCAGTAATTGTAGAATTCTTTTTTCTCTATGTTATGTTCTCTAATTTCTTGCTTTCCCAACTATTAGTTTCAAACTAATGGCCAGAAAGAGAAATTTCGAGTCATGCCCCCATTCTGGCCTGTTAAATTTTCCACTAAAGTGTAGAATAACTACCTGGCAAGTATTATTTCTTGTTACCTTTGTAATTATACCTTTGATATGTTTTTTTTCCGCACACATTTTGTCCAAGACTGTGGTTTCTTGCCTTACCCATAAGGCTACCTGTGTTTAATCCAGAGGTTTCAGTATAGCATGTTTTATAGGACAGTTTTAGATTAATATTGCCCACTTTGGATTTGCTCCAGGTTTTTCTTCTTTGGTTGATATTTATTCTGTATTTACTGCTTTCTGACTACAGACTCTTCCAGCTACAAGGCACATCTAACTGAGCAGATTAGTATTGAAGATAGGTGATGTGTAATTTGGTTTTTTGCTTTTCTAAGCCACGTGTAGCTACTTTATTTTTCTTTACATTTTTATATTTTTATTTCTGTGAAAAATTGACCTCACTTGAGCATTTCTGAATAATTCATAATCTACTTAATTAAGAGACCTTAATTCACAGTGAGTGGTCATTGTTATTTAAGATGTGCACAGACTAAACAATCATTTTGTCTTTTTTGACAAAGAAATTATGGGAAATCTGCAATTAAATAGTATTGTTATATTAATGGGACAGCTATCGCATAACAGTAATGCTCAGCTGACCATAAGTTTAGGGAAATGATTTTCAAAGGGGATGAAGACATTTTCAATTTGGCAAACTATAAGAAAGTTGGTTTTTTTATAATGCCAGGTAAGATTATGTGGTAAAATTTCCATTTCCAGAATATTTTGTAATTTTTTTTATGGAATGTTATGTCCTTATGTGTTTGATTCCTTTTAAATGATTAATGGATTTCCAGAAGAGATATCCAGTGATGAGGAGGAGACAAATGCGAATGCTCAAGCCATGCAGTCAAATACCAGGAAAGGCGAGGAAGAGGAAGAGGACGATGACTGGGATGAAGAAGTGCTGGAGGAGACTGCTCTGGAGGGGTTCAGCACACCACTTGACCTTGACGACAGTGTGGACGAATATCAGTTTTTTACACAGGCTCTGCTGAGTATGTCTCTATGTATCTTGAGATATTTTTTGTAAACTTTTTTATGATAGAGGTCATTTTGGGATCTGCTCAAAAACTGGTCCAGACTCTTTTAAAAATGCATTTTTATTACAAAAATGTCTAAACATGCAAAATGACAGATGAATGTAATGAAACATTCATCAGCCAGTCTCAGCAGCTTTTGTTGTCCTAAAGTTGTGGCAGGGTGAGCTTGTAGCTTATCCTCGCAGAAGAATTTCAGAAGTATCTACAGATACTGTCCATCCTCTTGGCATAAATGGGCAGGCATGGCCACAGCGAGATACTTTAGGCACATTTTACTTAAGGCTTGTGGTCACACACCTATTAGTAATTAGTAATTAGAATTAGTAATTCACTCACCTACAATCCCCATGGGAATGAAAGAGCCACTTGCCTTAGAGCCACTCTCTACTTCAGCAATTTACCAATTTTATAGAGCAAAAGACACCATAAATATAAAGGACTAGCTGGGCATGGGTGACACATGCCTGTAATCTGGGCACTTGGCAGGCTGAGGCAGAAGGATTGCTCTGAGTTCAAGGCCAGCTTGAACTACATAGCAAAATCCTGTCAAAAAGACAAAATTTTATACACACACACATGTGACTCATTTAAAAACTGGAAGAAAATATTTGTCTTAAAATGTGCACATACCTATAATCTCAGCATTCAGGAGGCTGAGGCAGCAGAATCACTGAAAATTCGGTGCCAGCCTGGGCTATAAAGTGAGTTTAAGGCCAGCCTGAACTGCATAGCAAATCCCTGTCTCAAAAGATATACAAGATATGCACTATTCAAATCTCTTCTACATTTGGATACACTAGTAAACTACTACACAAATGGGAGATTTAAATAGAAACTTTACAGAATAGTGATGAGCCAATGAAGATATTTAGAAAATTATTAGTCATAATGAGAAAAATCCCACTAATGTTTATTATTTGTGTTTTGAACAAAGTGAGCCTTTTTTAGGTAAGATATTTTTACAACAAGGCAGTATCCGTGTAACAATGACAATGCTGTATTCAGTATTACTGCAAATACCATTAATGGGGTGAAATGCCTCAGGGCTTTGATTGAAAGTTAGCAGGAACTGAAGGTAGAGAACTCAGGGACTAGTACCGCCATACAAGGACAGCGAAAGAAGTGTCAATGCCGAGGAGGAGATCAGGGTGCTCCCAGGCATGTTTCTGGACCCAGTACCATCCTAACCCCTGGGGATGCAGCCCTGGGCTAGGCACAACACGGTAAAAGTGCGCTTGCATGGTGCTTCAGTGGCATCTTTGTGCTGGGACACACAGGCTACCACGTAGGGAAGGAGCCCTGTGTAAGAAGAACAGAGGCCTGCAGTGGCCTCTGCCTTGCTGTGGAGTGTTGCTGAGTGTGTTCTGCAAGGTTCTGACCTGGACTCTGTAGTTTGCTTCCGAGGATTTGTCAGGTGATGTGCAAATGAGCCAGGTGCGTGTGTGCGTGTGCGATCTGAATGTAGGGACCCAGTATTACACAGTTGTTAAGTTCAGTGGTAGGATGCTTGTTTAGGCAGCATTTATTCTAAACAGAAAGAATGGTTGGGGGGTGGAGGGTAGAATTTTATGCAAAGAAGAGGATAGGCATGGTCAGTGAGTCAAAGTGTTTAGGTGGTGATTTATTTTTTTAAGTATTGGCCTTCGTACTGAGCCATACTCCCCAGCCCTTTTTTTTAACTTTTAACTTTGAGACAGGGTCTTGCTAAGTTGCTCCGTTTCCAGGCTGGGCTCACATTTTCCATCTTTCTGCCTCAGCCTCCCAGAGTGCTGTGATTACAGGTGTGCACTATTGCACCTACTAAAGGTGCTAAGGGCTCACAGTGGTTACCTGGGAAACTAATAGAAATAGTGATAGAAATGGAGACATGAGGCGGGCTTGGAATGAAAATGTTAAATTGGCTTTTAGTTGTGTTGTGTTTGAGGTGAGCTGCTGAAATGGAAAGGCCCAGTAGGTTAAGGGAAGGCTCAGCCTGAAGGTATGGATTGGAGTCTTGCTGTGGAAGCCATGCTGAAGCTGCAGCATGTGAGTTCCCCAGGAAGAGGTTAGTGCAGTCCTCCAGGTGTTCCCCAGGTCAGGCCTCAGGGAGACAGAAGGTAGAGGCGGTGGAGACTACCTGCAGCAGAGCTCAGCAGGGGCTCAGAAGTGACCCTGCGCCACTCGGGCTCCCAGGCTTTGACTGTGCCACCTGTGCTCTGTGAGGTAGTAATTGGCTCTGCATTCTCTCCTTTCTGCCTCCACCTCCTGCATCCTGAACCACAGCTGTGCAGAGTCGAGATGCTGCCTGGTACCAGCAGCTGACGGCCCCACTGAGTGACGACCAGAAGAGGATGCTGCAGGAGGTGTACGCATTGGCAGAGCACCGAAGGACAGTGGCAGGTCAGTTGGTCACCTCCACAGTGGCGTGCATGTGGCACAGTGCTGGGGGTTAGCCTTTGATGTGCCAGGTGGCATCCAAATAGTATTTTTTTATTGTTAAAGGCGGGATGTGGTGGCACATGCCTGTAATCCCAGCACTCAGAAGGTTGAGGCAGGACAGTCTTTGCAAGTTCAGGGCCATTGTGAGATCTTATCTCAAAAAATAAACAAGAAAATTTTAGAGACCAGTCCTCATGATAAGGAAGAATTGTCATTGTTGAATAGTTGTTTTTTAACCATCCATCATAATTCCTGAGCTCTGCAAAAACCTGTGCTTCATTAATTCTTATAAGGAGCTTGTACTTCTAGCAATGAAATCATGCCAGCTTTCTGTTGTAGTGACAAAATACCTGAGAAAGTCAGCTTATAAGGGGAAGCAGGCATTTTTGGCTCGACGCTTTAGTGCCTGTTCCGTGGCCCTCCTGGATCTGGTTCTGTGACGAGGCAGCGCTTCACAGCAGGAGCATGTGGTACAGGAAAGCTGCTTCCCTCGAGGCCACTGGAGAGCAGAGGAGAAGGGGATAGGGGCTGGCATCCCAGTGTGCCCTTCAAGAGACAGCCACAGGGACTGGGCTCTTCCTCCTCCTCCTCGCACTGGCCTCCTGAGACCTCCATAACCTGGTGACCACACCTTTAACGTGGGATCTTTGGAGGACATTTAGGTGCTGAATCAGGTTCTCCATCTCTATTTGTTGGGATTTATGTGCTGATAACTATTATTTTCCAGTCTTAAATTGGATGAATTCTTTTATATTGAGATTATTCTAGTCACTCCTAGGTTACCAATGGAAAAGATTTCACAAAAAAATGTTAGTAGGACACATGAACAGTGCATCTAGAGTTTATAGCGCACTGGTTCTTTCACAGAGATTCAGGTATTCAGATTGTCTGTGAGGTGTTTGAGTACCCTTTTGTCCATAGAGACAGCCAGCATTGAGACTTGTTTTATTTCACTCATTTGAAGCAGCTTTTCTGTGATAATAAAAAATTCCATATTGACGTGGATCTCTTAAAGGCTAACATTAACTCTGGCAGAGTGACTATTACCAGGGACTGTGTTTCTTCACAAGTCTTAAGTGTGTGACAGTGATGGTGAATCTGTCAGAGCTTTTGGTGATGCACAGCTGGCTGTAGCATGTGTGCTGGGGCCACCCCTGCTATATAAAGAATCTGGCTGTCAGATTATTTCCAAGTTTGTCATCTTAAAATTCTCTTCTGTTTTTTGATTTGTTTGTTTGTTTTTGTTTTAAATACTAGAGGCAAAGAAGAAGATTGAGCAGCAGGGTGGCTTCACATTTGAAAACAAAGGTATTCTCTCTGCATTTAACTTTGGAACTGTGTCCAGCAACAACTGAAGTGAGAACATCAGCTGACCACGGTCACCGATGTGTGTGATTCCACAGGGTGTGAGGGCAGGGGTGGAGCTGAGTATTGCTTTTCAGGGCCTCCTGCCACACCAGTTACTGCCTGGCACCCCATAGCACTCCGTTCCCTGAGGCCCCTTCTCACCCTGAGTGCTGTGTTTTCAGCAGCTACTGTAACACAGGACTGTGGGGAAGAACAGAATCATTGCGTTGAAAGGACAGCCATCTGTTCCACAGGCTGAAAGCCCCGGCGGTTTTTAGAGGATTGGATCAACTTGCACGTCTCAGGTTTTTGCCATGCAGAATCAATAGATTTATGCGGATAACAGTGCCTTCTGTTGTACATGAATTATCAGAAACATTTTTTGGAGTGCATTGCAATTTTTTAAAGCATAAAACGTATTTCTAGATATAATGTAAACCTTGGTTACATGTTGACTTATTCTGCATTTTACTCTGTGAAATTTACTGTTAGGCAGTTAGCTGCAGGTCACGCTGGTTTCAAAACCACCCCTGCTACCTGCACCCACCTGCCCACTGCCCTGCGGCAGGACACTGTCTTCAGGAGTTGTAAAATATGCACTGGCTGTGGTTTTTCATATGTTCTGTGGCTTTCAAAAGAAAAGAAGTGTCTTATTTCCCCTCCCTCCATAGTTTTCTACCTTGACAGGGGTGGTGTTTCTTTTGGAATTGGCAAAGTCCTGTATCAGTTTCCTTTCTAGCCTGGCAGTGGTAATTGCGGGAGGTGGCAGTTGCTCAGCAGCATGTGGCAGGGCCTTGCTGGTCGCTGGTGTTAGCACCACGTCTGAGGGGATTGTGACTTGCACCTGTGCAGTGATTTTATCCTTGTACTCAAAGCACCTTCTGCGCTTCTAGTAGCAGGCACCATGTGTCTTCTGAACGGGGCTCCCGTCTTCAGTGACTCACCATTCCAGCTGTGTTGGGCCAGGGTCCAAAGCATTTTATAATGGCATTTTTAATTTAACAAAAGAGCCAAACAAATCTACTTTTCTGTTTTCTCACACATCTGAAAATTTTCCTGCCTAATTTGTTTTAGTCATTATAGCTCATTGGCTTCTTAAGTTTTCTAAGCATTGAGTATGTTGGTCATCTTCATTCTTGATTTAAAATGATCTACAGAGAATATTGCAGATGGGAGGTTTTTCTGAATTATTCAAGACTGGAACATGGAATGCTGTGTTTTCATTCGGTTCAATGAAGTGTACCTTAAAAACTTAGCATGTCACAAGGTGTGATAATTCCTTTTTTTTTTTTTTTGTGGAATGTCTGCAAGTCAAATTTCCCATCTGAGACTGGGAGAAGTTTTCCCCGGGTGCTTCTCCTGTTACCATCCCTTATTCACATTAAGTGTTTAAAATTTTAGGTTATTTAATTCATATAGAAGTAGCCCAAACAGCCATGATTTGGGAGTTAAAGAGCGTCCACTGTCCCCCCAGTTATCTGGGCGGTGGAGCTGAGCGCCTGTCACCACCCCTGCCAGGGGAAGACGGCAGGGGTGTCTTGGAAGGTCTCGGAACTCTCGTATCCCACATGGTTTACTTTTAAGGTAAAGACAATGCCTTCACACTGGATTGTACAAGGCATGTGGTTTTAGAGCTTTATTTTGTGATGTATTGTCTTCTGCAGTATTAAAGGGAAAAAAGTATTAATGTGCATCATTTTATCTTGTTTTTAAGCCAGGGTAGTTGTATGATTTTGTTACCAGCAGTGCTAACCCAAATGCGATCTGGTTACCTTGGAAATGCAGGAACTTACATGAATGTACTGTAAAATAAAATGCGAACTGACCCCAGGATTGTGGTCTCTCCTTGTGGAGCATTCTCTCAGGGGCAGAGGTAGCTTCGGCGGGTGGTGACTGCTGGCCTGGTGAGCAAGGTGGCTTCATCTGGGAGGCCACAGGTTTTCATATGAGCTCACAGGAACTGCAGAACTGGGGAGTGGTCAAAAGCCTTGACCCATTCATTGCCCAGGGCCTCCCGATGGAAGCTTGGGGAAAGCACAGGTCACTCAACCACAGCAGCACATGGCAAGAAGGGGAATGGCGACTAAAATGGAGCCATTGTGTAATGGCTACAAGTAAGAGGAGTGGCCAGGATGGGCCGGGAAGACTCTAGCCTTTTGATTCCTGATACGTCCCTGGGTGACAGTAAGTAAGAGCCTTCAGCCCCACCCCTGAAGTATGTAGGCCAACCTGAGTCAGTGCATTTTAAAGCAGTGACAGTTTCTGAGGTAGAAAACAGTTATTTCATGGGCATGGCAGCACTCACCTGGACTCCTAGCACTTGGGAAGCTGAGACAGGAAGGATCACTGTGAGTTTAAGGCCATCCTGGGTTAACTGAGTGAGTTCAAGGCCTAAGCTACAAAGTGAGACCTTGTCTCAGAAAAAGAAAAAAAAAATCTTTAAATTGCCCATTAAGTAGTAGAATTAAGTATCACACAGTTTTCTATAGAGGAGACTGAAAACTATAATAAATCCATGGAAGAAATCAAAGGACGCTTGGCCATGTGTTAAGGACCCCTTCCATCTACACATGTACACACACTTGCACATGTGATTCGTCTGTCAAATCCAGGCACACCTTCCATGGTGACCTTCCTCCACTCCCCACCGGGTTGAATGTATGCTGCTAATGCTGACCCGGCGAGGAACATCTTGAGCAGTCTACTGTTGATGGAGGCTGCAGAACCAGAGGATGGTCTGTCCTTCGTGGCTGGACCACACTTGAAAAGAAGCACTGCAATCATGGCTGATTGCATGGCTGATTGCACGGAGCAGCAGTGTCACTGGTGGCAAGGCGGCCAGCCCGACCTGCTGGTGGAGGAGGGAAATGGCTGTGTGGTGGGGAAGGGGTGCAGGCTTTGACCTCAGGGAAGGGGAGTACATGTCCATTCCCCAGGGTGAAAAGTGGCCCACATAGAGGCCACCCCGCTGAGAAAGCAATTTCCCCACTAGAGGGGCCTTGAGACTTCCCACAGGGCCTGGAACTTACTGAGCAGGAGCAGACTCCCGGAGGAGCTCCCACAGATTGAAGGGAGTGCCTGAGGGACGGGAGCCTCTCCACGGTGGCTCTTGTCCCAGCGCACACTTCTGCTGCAAGCAAGTGAGGACAGTACTCTCTCTCTGCAGTCAGGTTTTCCTGGACCCTTCCTGCAGCTGCCCCTTCTTGCTGATTTCCCTGCAGTCTGATTCCTCCAGTCTCACCTCCTCCCAGAGTCTCATGCTCTCCCAGAGCATGCCAGGAGCTAGAATTTCCCCCTTTTCTCACCACTGTTTTGTTTTGCCTTGAATTGTTCTTGTCCTCGGTACAGACTTGACTGTGTTACAGACTTACAAGGTGTTTTGTAGACATGTTTGTGGTACTCATAATGCCTTGCACTGGTGGCCAACATGGTTAATAGAATGAACAAATGGGTAATTGAGTCTGAGGCTCTGCCAAAGAGTTTGGAGTTGAGAAGCACATCATGGGCTGCAAGACCTAGAGACAGTGGACTCCTGGGGAGGCCTTCACTGCAAGAGAAGGGTGCGGGGGTCACTGTGGGTCTGCTTCCTCTTACTATGTACAGTGCGGTCTTCATGCGCTGAGGCATTCAAGGTAGTTTCCTTTAGTTCTATGACATAGCAGCCCTTTCTCTTAACTCCCCATCCTTTCTATTTAATTTCTGAGTTTGTCCATCCCAGTGATATCACTGCTTCACTCTGCACATCCAAGCACCACATTTCACTGATGCTATCTTTAGAACATATTCCAGGTCTTTCCTTCTTTGTGTGTTAGCTCTGTGGAAGCCACAACCATCTCTGGCAATGTTCTAGTATCTCTAAATCTCAGAACTGACACCCTTGCTCCCACATCCCAACTCACTGTCATTGCCTGTTCTCACAATAGAAGGAAATTTCAGAAAGCACCCACCAAAGGTAGCCGCCTCACTAGGGGTTCCTGTAGCTTGGCACCATGGCCCATCCCTGGGTTAGATGGGACCTGAAATGTTGCCTACCCAGGGAGTCACACAGTAAGGATGAAGCCCCTCTCCAGTGTCTGGAGCAGTTTCTCATGCAGCTGGCATGGGCAATTCAATCCTGAGACTGGAGAGAACTGGCCTCCAGGTCACACTGCAGGAGGCATCTCCAAAGCATGTGCATCTGTGGGGACCTAGCATATTTAGTCTGAGAGAGTTTCTCTATACCATGCTTTCTAGTCTCCCCTCCACCCCAAGGGCAAAAGTTCAGTCCATCTGATGTCATGGCTTTCCTTTCTGGCTGGGAACATGTCCTAAGCTGTGCAGATTCAAGTGGTTGCTCAAGTGACAGCTGATGCTCTCTATGGGATTTGATGAAACTCTTGAACTCAAGACTGAGAAGGAGACCAGTGGTGGCTTTTTCTCTCTCACCTTCAGAGTGTCTTACAAGTGAAGCCTCAGTGCCCTATTTGTGCTTGTCCCACTTGGGATTTCACCTGTCAGAGAACACAGACCCTCTAATGTTTCCCTACTCTGATGCTAGGATGTTAGGAAGAATGGGGAGGAGAGAGGAGCCTGGTGTGTTCTGCCACATATGGGCCAGGGCAGGGGGGTGGTGCTGGGGGGTGGTGTTGGGGGTGGGGGAGAAGTGCGCTGACTTCTGCTTTCCTTCTTACTTAGCTAAAATCTCTAGATTTCTAAGAAACTGAGGTCCTCTCGTGTTTACGGGTCCTCAGAGACACAGAGCTTTGGGGTAGATTTTTTTAGTAAAGTTCTGCTGTTGTGTACAACTTCTTTTCTTGATTCCCTGATAATAGCAATGTACCAGGAACAAAGAGGCTGTTCTGGTTCATGAAGCAAAATATGTGCATGCATGCACACTCACTGTCACACACACACACACACACACACACACACGTACACACACAGCAACCGCTCCAGGCAGTTACATGCTGGGAAATGGGGTG